AGTCAAGGAATCTAGCACCCTCTTCTGGCCTCTGTGGGCACTGCACTAACATGCACAAACATAAAAGCACAAAAGCAAACACATAATTTAAAATAAGTAAACTTTTTTATTTTAAAGAGTTCAGTGGCATTAGAACATTCACACTGCTGTAACATCCTCATCTGTCCATTTCTAGACCATTTTCATTGTCCCAAACAGAAATTCTGTGCCCACCAAGTATGAATTCCTACTCTGTCCCCTTGAAAACCTTGCATCTGCTCCCTGTCTCTATGGCATATGTGTTGTATGAAGTGTAATTCTTTAGAATTTACCCTTGTATGTCTATCTCCTCACTTATTCACTTGGAGTAGTGTTTGCAGAGTTTACCCATATACCAGGATACCGCTCTACTTTCAGACTGGATTCACTTTATTGTACAGATATACTACAATTTATTTATCCATTCATCTGCTGACTTATATTTGTGCTGTTCCCATAGGTTAGCTGTTATGAATAATAGTACATAAGTATCTATGTCCAGGCTTTCTGTTTCTCTAAGTTTGTGCCTAGAAATAAAACTGCTAATTGACTATCTATTCTCCTTAATTATCCCTGTTAGGAAATAGAAAAAGCAATGTTCGACCTGACTATAACACTGCGAGTTTATGTGTGTGTTTGTGTGCTTTTGTGTACGTGTCATGTGTATATGTTCTCACGCACACATATTTGAGCACCATGTGGAAACCAGAGGTCAACATCAGAAGTCTTTCTCAGTCACGTTACACCTTGTTTTTTGTTTGTTTGGTTTTTGGTTTTTTGAGACAGGGTTTCTCTGTATTGTTTTGGAGACTGTCCTGGAACTCACTCTGTAGACCAGACTGGTCTTGAACTTACAGAGATCTGCCTGCCTCTGCCTCCTGAGTGCTGGGATTAAAGGCATATGCCACCAACACCCGGCTTACACCTTGTGTTTTAAGACAGGGTCTCTTACTGAAGCTAGAGCTCACTATTCTAGCCGGTCTGTGTAATGTGCTCCAAGGGTCTGCCTATCTCCATCTCCACAGTGTTTGGATTACAAGTGGGTACTGCCACACCTGGATTTTTCATGAGTTCTGCGTATTGAACTCGGGTCCTCATGGTTGGAAGGCAAGCATCTTACTTCCTGGGCCATCTCCCTATCCCCTGTAATATCTTTTCACCAAAATTAAGTCCATATTGCTTGTTATTTCCAAAGAAATAGCATTACTTTTTATGTTCTTAGAGAAAAGAAGGATTGACCTGGTGTGCTGGTGCATACATCTGAGGAAACTAGAGAGAGAAAGACAGCACAAGTTCAAATGCTAGGCTACATAGTGAGACTCTGTATCAGAAAAACAGGGGCAGAGAAAGGGGAGGGGGGAAGCTATGACTATTATCTCCAGGAGTTAGCTACCACTGTAAGCACAAGGTCCTCTGATCAACAAGACCCCCAAATACCAAAGGATAACTTACAGGGGGAAAATGAATTTTAGCACATATTCTAATGAAGTCATTCAATTGCAAAAACCCATGGAGTCCCAATAGGGACTCATCAGTCTTGCACATTCAAAGCCTAAAATAGAAGTTCCCCATCCCCACCATCTATTACAATAAACTGGGGAATTTTCTAGATTATACTCTCCTACTCCCACACACAGGCTAATTGAATGAACACCTTCAGTCACTGGGCATTAAAAGCTCCCATAGAGACTCTTTTCTGCATCTGAGACTGAGAACCACTCATCCAGGGCAATGTTTTTCAATTTCTGAACCAGGAACAGAAGCAGCATCTCCTGGGAATTTCCTATAAATTTGGCACAGGGGAGGCAACTCAGCGGGTAAAGTTCTGTGAAATTATGGGCTCATGAATTTAGATTCCCAGAATCCACACAAAGAGCCCAGTGAGGTGGTTCACACCTGTAGTCACAGAATCAGAACTCAAGAAACTAGTCACCAAAACACGAAATAGTCCAATTAAAAAGTGGAGTACAGAACTAAATAGAGAATTCTCAGTGACTGAAAGACACTTAAGAAAGTGGTCAACATCCTTAGCCATTAGGGAAATGCAAATCAAAACAACTCTGAGATACCTTCTTGCATCTGTCAGAATAGCTAAAGTCAAAAACACCAATGACAGTTTATACTGGAGAGGATGTAGAGAAAGGGGAACACTCCTCCACTGTTGGTGGGAGTACCAACTTGTACAGCCACTTTGGAAATCAGTATGACAGTTCCTTAGGAAACTGGGAATCAGTCTACCTCAAGATCCAGCAACTCTACTCTTAGGCATATATCTAAAGGATGCACATTTATACAACAAGGACATCTGTTCCACTATGTTCATAGCAGCATTATTTGTAATAGCCAGAACCTGGAAGCAACCTAGATGTCCCTCAATGGAAGAATGAATAAAGAAAATGTGGTACATTTACACAATGGAGTATTATTCAGTGGGGGAAAAAAAGCAATGGAGTCTTGAAATTCACAGGCAAATGGATAGAACTAGAAGAAATCATCCTGAGTGATATAACCCAGTCACAAAAAGACAAACATGGTATTTACTCACTCATATATGGATGTTAGACATAAAGCAATGGAGTACCAGCCTACAATCCACACTGCCAGAGAAGCTGGGAACAAAGAGGACCCCAAGAGAGACATACATGGTACCCCAGAGAAGGGGAAAGGGACAAGATCTCCTGAGCAAATTGGAACCAATCAGGGGAGGGGAGAGGGAGCTAGGATAAAGAGAAGGGGAGGAGGGAAGAGGAAGACATGAGAGACCAGGAAGATTAAGTCAGGGGAAGAATAGAGGAGAGCAAAAAAAAGAGATACCTTAGTAGAGAGAGCCATTATAGGTTTAAAGAGAAATCTAGCACTAGGGAGATGTCCAGAGATATACTAGGATGACCCAACTAAGAATCTACGCAATAGGGGAGAGGCTATCTTAAATGTCCTTCCCCTGTAATGAGATTGATATCTACCTTATATGCCATTATAGAGTCTTCATCTAGGAGGTGAAGGAAACAGAAGCAGAGACCCACAGCTAAACACTGAACTGAACTCCTGGAATCCAGTTGCAGAGAGGGAGAAGTGATGAGCAAAGGGGTCAAGACCCTGCTGGGGAAACCCACAGAAACAGCTGACCAGAACAGGGGGGAGCTCATGGACCCCAGACTGACAGCTTGGAAACCAGCATAGGACGGAAACAAGCCCCCTGCATATGGGTGTCAGTTAGGAGGCCTGGGCAGTCTATGGGGCCCCTGGTAATGGAGCAGCATTTATACCTAGTGTATGAAATTGACATTGGGAGCTCATTCACCACAGAGAGATACTCTCTCAGGCTAGATAAACGGGGGAGACTTTGGTGATCCCCATAGAAAGCATCACCCTTTCTGTAGAGCAGAAGAGGGATGGGATGGGGGACGGTGAGGGGCCTGGGAGAATGGGAGGGTGAGGGAACTGGGATTGATATGTAAAATAAGATTTTGTGTAATTTAAATTTTAAAAAAGGGAAAAAAATCACAGAGTCAGGAGGCAGTCCCTCGGGACACATACACAGGACAATCCCTGTAGCTTGCTGGCTGCCCAGTGTAGCCAATAAATGAGTTCCATGTTGAGTGAGAAACCCTACCTCAAAAAATTAAGATAGAGAACCACAGAACAAGATAATCAATGTCAACCTGTGGCCTGCACATGCAGATGCCTGGGCACACACACCCTTACCACATAATCACCCACACATACACATGAACACACATGTACACACCACAAATACAAACGTGTAAAATAAATAAATGCTGACTTTTTGTGCCCAGCCCTCTGCAATTGCTCAGGTTCTCCAGGGAATTCTGAGACCAACTGTGAGGACCACAAGGATCCAAAGAAAGAAGCATCTATTGGACAACAGCATCATTCCTTCCCATGCACCTTTCACTAGACAATCCCAGAGAGCACCTCAAGGCAGTGGCCTGTCAAGGCACAACCAGAGTGTTTGGTCATTTGGGCAATTATTGATCATCCACAGGGGGCAGAGCTGTTCTCTCAGGAAAGGACCATGGGAAGTCTTGAAGTGTTCTCTGGGTCTGTCCATCCGTGTCATCTCTGAACGCTGTGTTTGTGAACATAGTTACCACAGCGACCTGAAGGAAGGACTGAAAACAAGTTGGGCACACAGCACACAGTCACTGCTGTGGTGGGTGACTGTAGGAGGAGGTGACTACCCAGGGGACACTGAGAGACCGGGGAGCCAGGATCAGCCCGCCTGCACACAATCTATGTGCTGCCACCCTGCCTCATCGATTCTGCAGCTCATGACTCAGGACTCCTCAAGCATTTTCAGATTGTTGATTTTCATATTCCGAGAAGGATGGAGATGTGGCGGAGCTGTTGAAATTTACACAGAAATGCGTGGAAGCAGGTGGAGTGCTGATGAAGGAGAGATGAAGGCTATGGGACCTCAGGAAATGTAGCCTTGCTGGGGAAAGTGGGAATCTAGAAGCTAGCCAGTTTTACAGTCCAGACCCACTTCCTTTCTGCCTCTGCTTCCTGAGACAGCAAGTGTGGCCAGTTGCCTTCCTGCCATGATGGATTTTTTTTTTCGAGACAGGATTTCTCTGTGTAGCTTTGGAGCCTATCCTGGCACTCATTCTGTAGACCAGGCTGGTCTCGAACTCACAGAGTGCTAGGATTAAAGGCTAAAGGCGTGCACCACCACGGCCCGGCTCCATGATGGATGTTATCCCTTCAAAATGTAAACCAAAATAAACACTGCCTCCAATAAGTTGCTCCATGTCATTCGCTTGCAAAAACAAGAAAATGTTATAAATATACGGAAAGTCTGCTAGAAGAATGTGAATTCAATTGAGTTGTTCTCTCTGGCTCATCATCCCTTCATTCTATATGGGTGGCATTCCTCCCTGCCTGATGGCCAAGGCTGAGCAAGGTGTTTACAAACTAATGGCCTACTGTTTCGAAGACTGACTCCTCTGTCTACCCCACAGGTACCACATCTGTGTGACCGTGCTGATCTACTTCCTGCCCCTGCTGGTGATCGGCTATGCATACACCGTGGTAGGGATCACACTGTGGGCCAGCGAGATCCCTGGGGATTCCTCCAACCGCTACCACGAGCAAGTCTCTGCCAAGCGCAAGGTGAGTGAAGGTTGAAGGTCAAGCAGGCAGAGCCCACCCTGGCCCTGACGGTGGCTGGGGAGCAGGGAGTCCCCGACGCAGAAGCAATAAGGCATCTCTGGACCTCAGGAACGGGAGAGGAAAGCAGGATCTTTCTTCACACCCACAAGTACAAGTACACATTCATACTCACGTACAGTCATACACACATGCAAACTCTTATATATACACATAATCACACGCATACAAAAGTACTCATATACACACGTGCATTCATATACATACACACCAACACTAATTCATATACATGTATACATCCACATATACACAAACATAAACAGTCATGCACATACATATATACATACCAAAACCTACTTTACACATACATACATACACACATGTACCCACATGCATGCATACATATATAAGGACTCATAAACATACACACACAATACTCATATGCATATACACACAAACCCATGTACACATACATGTATAGATGCTCATATACATATACAAACACTCACAAACTTTATACACATATACTCATATGTCCATATATCAACAAATACACTCAATCACATAAATTCACATGCATATAGGACACATATACTAACATACACTCATACACATACATACTTATATATAAATACACATGTAATCATGTATATACTCATGTGCATTCACACAATCCTTCATATGCAGATATTCATATACACATTAACATACATATACACATATGCACATATTCATATATATACACAAACACATGTGCTAATATACATATATGCAAAAATACACACACTCATACACATGTATACTATTCTTACACACACATATGCATATCTATGCATACACTTATACAAACACAACTCGTACACGCATACATACAGATACATACAACTCAGACAAATGCATGCATCTAATACACATACACGCATGCATGCATGAAGCACTTTCACCTGGAGACTTATAAACAAGAGAAATTGGTCTTCACAGCTTTAGAGGCCAGGAGACCAAGACAAACGCAGAGTCCCTGTCTGAGGAAGGTACTTCCTGCTCATGGCAGTTGCCTTTGCCCTGGGTCCTCTCACAGTAGGACAATAGAGCTCCCAGGCCTCTTCACAAGGGCTTTAATCCTGCCTAAAAATCTTTTCCATCAGTGTCTAATTGCTTCCCAAAGGTCTGTGTCCTAATACTGTCACATGTCACATTCCACTGGCAACTGCAACTTAGTATGTGATGTCTCCAGACCAAACACCTTCCCCGGCCCCCTCCCCTGGCCTGGCCTCTGCTGCCTTCCCTGGGGCTTCTCTTCTGTATCCCCATTCACTTCTGCTCACTGTCTCTCCCTTGGCTTCTCTATACATTGCCTAGCAAGGTCACATAACAGCACATCATAGCCTGCTGAAGGGTCCTGGTCCACTGTCAGGTTATAATTCTAGATATCTAGGACAGACAGGTCCAATAACCTGTAACTCCTAACAAGTCCCTGGTGGTAGGGATGATGGTAGTCCTGGGTCACAGGCAGAGACCGGTACCAGGATCCTTAAGCCTGAGTGTTAAAGGTCTCGCAGCCTCCTTAGAAGACAACATTATAAACACCTCCCTTCCCACCACACCGCACAGTGATGGGGAGGGAACAGAAGCCACCCCACCGAAGGACGTGCTGATGGGTCTGCCTGCCTTGCCCTCTCCCCAGGTGGTCAAAATGATGATCGTGGTCGTGTGTACCTTTGCCATCTGCTGGTTGCCCTTCCATATCTTCTTCCTCCTGCCCTACATCAACCCAGATCTCTACGTCAAGAAGTTCATCCAGCAGGTCTACCTGGCCATCATGTGGTTGGCCATGAGTTCCACCATGTACAACCCTATAATTTACTGCTGCCTCAATGACAGGTGAGGACACCATGCTCACACATCCAAACCACAAGCCACCATCAAAAGGGAGTGGTAGGTCTGCAGCAAGCTAACCACACCCTGCAAGCCATGCTCACTGGGGCTCTGCAACAGTGTGAGCACAGGGTGGGTTGGTTTTCTTGACCAAAGGAAACAAATTATCTTTTGTTTCCTGTGTGACATGGTTTTTTTCTTGTGTGTGTGCAAATTTGTATGTGCGAGTGGGCATCTGTGCGTGCGACTGGAGGCCAGAGGAAGGTGTCAGCTGTCCTGCTTTATCATTCCCCACCATATTCCCTTGAGACGGAGTCTTACTGAAACTACCTCTAGGTTGGCAGCCAGTAAGTACCAGTGATCTTGTTGTCTCCACACCCCAAAACATGTGCGTGAGCACGCATGCGCACGTACACACACACACACACACGGTTGGGCATATGGGTACTGTACACCCACACCTGGCTTTTTACATGGGTTCTAGAAATTTGAAACAGGCCCTCACATTTATGAAGCAAACCCCTTAACCCATTGAGCCATCTCCCCACTCTTCTGATTTTTAAAAATTGGAGACTCAGTTAGTGGAATTGAGGGCATGTTGTGGCTGTCGCATGTAGACAAGCCTGCATACATTATGCTCTTCTTGTGTCACTGTTTCGTCAAGGTTCACTTCCCCAGACACATTTCCAGTAACACAGAAAAGCAAAGGAGGTCAGGGCCCCATGGCCTGGTTCCTGCAATTATGTGGTCAGACAGGCTCAGGGAACCTTCTCCCAACAAAGGTTAACCCAGATAATTCAGAGACAAGAGACCCTCAGGGACTTACTATAGGCAATAAAGAATTTACTGTGGTAGGTGGAGAGCACACAGGAGGGGTCTGGGACACCAGGTTGTTAATTGTCACCCAAAGAAGCATCCAACCTGTGTTTGGGGACGGATGCTGAGAAGAAGGGAAGATAGAAAATCCCTGTTCTCTCTCTCTCTCTCTCTCTCTCTCTCTCTCTCTCTCTCTCTCTCTCTCTCTCTCTCTCTCTCCCTCTCTCTTCAGCTGGGAAGGGCCCCTGTAACAGAGACACTTAAGCATTAGAAAGCATTAGAAGTATGTGTGGTCTCTATGCATATCACAGTTTCATCTTCTATGAGGGTGATGATCTGTCTCCAGTTTTTTTAGGTTAAATCTCTCGGCACATCTTTAAGTAAAGATGACCCTCCATATTTAACAAGTATGGAAACTGAGGCACCCTGATAAAACATCACTGGCAGTCAAGGGCTGAGTCTAGATACATACTTTTACTGTGAACCTGGTATGTTAATTGCCTTTCTATAGCTATGTAAGACACCATGGCCAAAGCAACTTATAGAAGAAAGAGTTTGTGTAGGCCTATGATTCCAGAGGAGTAAGAGTCCATCATGGCAGGGAACTGTGGTGGCAGGGAGTAGACATGGTGGCAGGAACAGCTGAGAGCACACATCTCCAACTGCAAACAGGAAGCAGAGAGAATGAACCTGAAATGACAGAGGCTTTTGAAACCTCAAAACCAGTGATGTAAGGCCACCTTCTAAGACTACCAAAACAGTGCGACCACCAACTGGAGACCAAATATTCAAATGCCCGAGACTATACTTGTCATTCAAACCACAAGACCTTGCAAACAGCCCAGTAGGTACACACAAATGACTACAGTGTGGAGTAGTTTTTGCTGATGTTCAGTTAACCAAATGTCTTCTGTTCACACACCCAAGGAAACAACCTAATTCTTGGATGCCCCAAAGAAAGACTTGATTGCACCTTGACAACTGTCGTTGAGGGGAGCTTGTCTCCAACGTCTCCAGATGTGAATTAATTTGAATATGTAACGGCGTAGAATCAGACCTGCGCAGGTCCTGTGTTGAGGAGCTGACACCATGGGAAGGAAGCCCTCTTAGAACAGGCAGTCTCACAGCTCACCTTTCCACCCTTTCTCTCCAGGTTCCGTGTGGGCTTCAAGCATGCCTTTCGATGCTGCCCCTTCATCAGTGCTGGTGATTATGAGGGGCTGGAAATGAAATCCACCCGATACCTCCAGACCCAGGGCAGTGTGTACAAGGTCAGCCGCCTGGAGACCACCATCTCCACCGTGGTGGGAGCCCATGAAGAGGAGCCAGAAGAAGGCCCCAAGGCCACACCCTCATCCCTGGATCTCACCTCCAATGGTTCTTCTCGAAGCAACTCGAAGACCGTGACAGAAAGCTCTAGCTTCTACTCTAACATGCTGGCTTAGGCAGGGGGCACATTTCAAGGGTGTGGTCACCAGCCCATCCTGTGCCCTGATTCATTTATGCATGGAATCCATTGGAAATACCCTAACACTGGAGCTTTTGTAAAGGGTCACTATGGTTTAAGGAAAACATTCCATGCTGTATTCAATCTGGATTCCTTCCTGTCCTTGTCAACCATCCTCACGATTGTGCCCTAAGGCAGATCAGTGAATGTCTATAAAGTGAGAAGGCTGCACTTGATCCCCTACAGTTCATCCCATGATGCCTGACATGTCTTCATCTGCATGCAGGTGCTCATTTGGGGAGGTATTCTGCAGTAATGCATTCAGCAGACTTGTTGGCCTGAAACTTCTGTCTTTCTTCTGTAAAGTCATTCTCAGCCATGCACAGACTAGCTCATGCCACTCCAGCCTTCCACTAGACAGTGTAAACAAGAGAGCTGTAGCCCCCCATCTAAGCACACATGAATAGAAGGCATGCATCCACCATTTTCATGACATCTGAATATTTCAATTCATTTAAATATCATGAAATTGACAACTTCTCACAACTTCTGCATTGTGTCCCTAATATAACCAATTCTTACTGAATATGTCTATGGCAGCAGCTGATGTATATTCTAACAAAGAGCCAGGAGACCCATTCCAGGCTTGACCTATGGGCCTCTTTCCTTCTTTGTAAAGCTACAGGGCTGAACTAAATACTCTGCAAGTATCCCTTCGAGTCTCTCTGTTCCCTGGTTTAATGGTATATACATTTTGTTCTCTCTCCCTTTCTCTCTCCTTCTCTCTCTCTCTCTCTCTCTCTCTCTCTCTCACACACACACACACACACACACATACACACACAATTAATTAATTAAAATTAAATAAAAAATGACAGCCTCAGAAATACTGAGTGGCAATTCCTAGATATGAGTATGGGTAAATATTCTCCCATTGATCCAGAAACCCTGATCCAAAATTCCTTCTCCAGGAAGGTTCTGGTCTTTGACAGAGCAGAGCACTTCATAGGAAACCTTGGATCTCTCCAGCAGCTGCAACAAGCTGCAGTCCACCTCTGAGAGCAGCGTCAGGAGGAGGAGTGTGTGAGCTTCCTGGCCTGGCTGCTCCTATCTTCATGCAGGGGTCCTAACTCAGAGTCTTCACTTTTTGCTCCTGTGTGTAGAGTGAGGAGGTTTCCCTCTGCAGCTACACTGATGGAAAGAGGAGCCTTGCATCTTCTCTTTTGCCTTCTTGTTCCACATCGTTGATCTCTGTCTACAAGAAGTTGAATGATCCAACAACCCCAAAGGACACTTGGTCTGCCAAGAGCTGGGGACTAAAAGCTCCATGTCCTGATATAGCTTCAGGATCTTCAGCAGGAGGGCACACGCTAAGGCATATGCCTTGCCCAGATGTAGCTGGTAGCCAAGGCTTTCTGTAACATCCATGAATGTCCTCTTGGTTCTGATAACTAGATGCACACAAGCTCCATCCATCATGTCAGAGAGAACAATGCCACCCACTACCAGTTTTTTCAGCTTTGGCTAGTCTTATTGGCTCTAATCCTATGAGGGAGTCAGCATACCTGGGGGAAGCACCATTTACATAGAAATGGTACAAGCCAGAAAAAAGAAATGAGAAACATAGTGCGCAGAGCATCATGGGAAAAAGTTAAGCAAATCCTGCTCAATGACACCCTATGAGTGGAAAATAAAATGTAGGGACAACAAAAGTCAAATTATTAACTATGTTTCCAAAAAAAGAATCTTTGTATGGATGCAAAGTAGTGTGCTTATGAAAAGTGCCCAAGAAGAAAGAGCATCGAGTGCTGAAGACACCACATCTACAGAAGAGAAGGTTAGGGTAGAGCTGGCAAGGATCTATGCAGCGCCCACTCTGGACTTGGCCCTGAACTGGAGACTCACAGCTCCTTCTACCCCCAGGAGCTTCCTCTGCCTGCCATTCCTGATGCATCAGTCCTGGTGAAACCAGACGGCTCACCAGCCCTGGAAGCACTGAGAAACAGAATCTTCCTAGGGTTTTAAAGACTGACTTTCACTATGGGGACTCAAGTCAAAGGGTGGGGCTTCTAGAGAGCCTCCACAGTGGCAGTTCTCTGAGGCAACTCTGAAGGGAGTCACCAGTAAGCCCTGGGGACTGTAAGGACTGAGATGAGCAACCTCATTCCGTGTGTAATAAGAGGGAAGATGAGGTGGACCTACGTTTTATGGATACAGCAAAGCATCCCTTACAGAGGACCGTCGAGCTTCCCACTGCCCCTGCTCCAAAGCCCATTTAATTTGTAGAAATGTCGTCGATTCCTGTGTGTGAGAACACTGTGATTTGTGATCTGTGCATGGGTCTCTTATTGAAATGTGTCACCCTGTGTTTATCTCCTAAGTGAGTTTTATTGATGTACCCTCCAATAATGATAGACTGGGAGACACCCTGGGGCCATCCTTCCCGTGTACCCTCTAGCCTGTGGATCCCAGTGCCACTGGCAAATGCACTCCTGCTATGTCAATCTCCTCCTGCCACTGTTCTTGCTTGGAAAGGAGTTGGGAAATGTACCTCACAGTCAATGGGACTGAGGGGCGGGGAAGTGACCTTTATGGGAGGAACACCCTTAGCCCTTCAGCAGAATGCCAAGGCAAAGGGCTGAGTAGAATCCTAGGAGAGGAGAGGACTCAGGCCTGGGGAAGACTGTGCATGGAGAGGACCCACTCCTGAGGCATCTGTGTTTGGGGCCTGGGATTCTGGGAAGAATATCCTACAGAAATAAAGTGTGTTTTCAGTGATCTTGTGTCTCTGTCTCTTCTCCAGGGAACAGGAAGAAACACTATTGGGAGTGGAGTAGGATAGTAATGATAACTCTCACAAACTACACACCCAGTAGGATAAAATCCAACATCTACTCAGTGCTGTAGTGGCAAAGATATGGGCTGGCAAGACCTGGGATGTGTTTCCAAACTGGGAAACAGGAATTTGGGATTGGATTGTATGGCCACACCAATGATGTCAACTATGAATACAGAGGTGTCAGTTCAAGCTGCCCATGGGAAAATGACAAGGCAGTTAGATGTACAAGTGATATCCTGGAGACAAGGTCAAGGCAGATCATGTGGGGAGAGAGGGAGATCAAGCTAATGGACACAGTGGGAGATCGGGGAAGACTGTAATCCAGCATAGGAATGGAGATAGGGTGTTGGGGTTTGAATGAGAAGCATCTCCTATAGGCTTGAGTGTTTGAACAGTTGATCCCCAACTGGTTTTGCTGTTTGGCGAGGCTTGGAACCTTTGAGAGGTGGAGCCCTGCTAACAGACATACATCACTGGGGGAAGGGTATTATGCACTCTAACCTTCTGGAACTGTTAGTGCAAGCAAACTGTTTATTCTATAAGTTGCCTTTGTCATGGTGTTTTATCACAACAGAGAAGTAGCTAATACAGAGGGAAAGAAAAAACCCAGTATGTGTAGATACTGCTCAAGAGAAGTCCACACCTGCTTTAGCAGAAATGGTCAAGCTGGTACCCACCTTGCTCTGCGACTGCCTGGGGTCATCTGGAGAGGGGGAAGGGCAATGTGGCAGACCCAAAATGCTACACCTGGGCTGATGGCACTCCTCGCCCACTCTTTTTCCAAGTGAATCTATGCCATAGAGCTGCACAACTGGTACAAGCAGCTTTGGTCCAGGCCTCTGTATTTAAAAGCATTGCAGGAAACTGCTGCAGGTTGGAAACATCAGTGATGATCACTGTGAGAAATGGCAACTTGCCTCCCCCTGCTGGGTCACCTCCCACGGGCAGTGCCATCAAGAGAGCCATGAGACACTGTGGACAGACTTGCAGCGACATAGAGAAGGAAAGAAAAAAAACAGACAGCTAAGGCGTCCAAAATGAACAATGAAGATGCTCCAAAATGAAGAGGCTCCCTTCTAAATTAAGGCATCTTAGAAAATGGTGCCTGGACAAGCTTCAAGGAATCCAGAAGATCCCCACACAACACATGGAAAATAGTCTGAATATACTCTAAAGCAATGATTAACCCTATGCTGTTCAGCAAACGGAGAAAGTGTGGAATGTTTCCAGGAGAGGGTAAGAAGCTGGGGGCCTTCTGAACAGAGCTGGAGGTAGATGAGCCCCAGAAGAACCAGCCTGGCTGCCGGGAAACAGCTTTGGAATAAAACCATACTTCCTCTCAGGCACCAGACAATCTAAAGCTTTAGACAAAACCATTGAGTTTGTGATGAAGGAGTGTGCTTACTCTTCTCCATGGAAATAAAAGAATGCCCCTTGCATAAGCAATAGTGACTCTTTAGTTACAGGTCAACAGAAAGCACAGGGTGTGGGGGACAGTTATAGAGACACAAAGATATTTTCATTTGCTCCAGGTTTGCGCAGCAAATGTTCTAGAGATATTCACCCCCAGTAGCTATAGCAGGACTCCTTCAATCCCTTGGTACAAGAGTGAACGGACTTCCTCAGCTCTGAACCCCAGCGCAGTTTAGTGAAGACCTCAAGCAGAAGGCAGATGAGGTGGGGACACATGGGGAATGTTCCTCTTCATCTTCAAAGCTAAACAAAGCATCTGAACCCCACAGCAATGCTCTAAGACACCATCGCCTATCTACCCGGTTCAGAAGAACAGAGGGGAGGTAAAGAGGTGGAAAATTAGGAACCTCATGGTACAGACTGGATACAAGAGTTGCAGGTGTCACCCTGGCTTCCCTCTCAAGCAGCACAGTTTGAAAGGAGAAAAGATTGGTGCTGAGCATCAAGTAACCAGAGGATATCAGAGGCAACTGCTGGTGTTGCCTGTTCGGCTAGCTCTAGAGACTTTCATTCCAGTTCAAACCTGGGTTCTCTGCACTGTGTCTCCTTTTTGTTTTTGTTTTTTTCTTTCTTAATTTATTTTTAATTTTGAAAGTATTTTATTAGATATTTGAAAATTTTTGGGCATGGTTTGATCACATTCACCCTTCTATCCCTCAATACTTCCCAGATCCATGCCCCAGTTTCCTACCCATTCAACTTTGTGTCTACTTTTGTCCCACCCTTATCCAAGGAGCTATTGGCAACTTCTAGCTTCTGGGGGGGGGTCAGTTTTCTCTGAGAGCACAGCCTCTAGCAGGGGAGAGCCACTCATCCAAGGATCTTTTCCCTTTTATTCCCACTTCATTTTGTTCTCCACTCATTAATCCAGCACAACTCCTGTCCCTGGAATATCCCTCCTAACTTCCTGCTTGCTGAAATGTCACCTTCCTGGCACTGATGGAGAACTGGGCATATCTGCCTCCCAGTGACTTCATCTAATGTAACTACCCCCAATAGTATGAGTGTTAGGTAAGGAAAGGGCTTTAGAGAAGTACTTTGCCCTTAAGGATGGTGCCTTTATGGTACAACCTATGAGAGAGAGAGAGAGAGAGAGAGAGAGAGAGAGAGAGAGAGAGAGAGAGAGAGAGAGAGAAGAACTTCTCCCGTTCAGCTATGACCCTACCCAACACCTTCCCTCCATTTCCAATCCCCCCCCCCACAACTCCAACCTCACACAACCCCACCACCATCCCTAACTACTTTTCTAAACTGAGATGATTTGAAGAGCAGGGCTCCATTGTTAAAGCCAACACTTAAAAGAAGCATCTGAGGCCTTTGGGAACCTGTTCCCCGTGCTGGATTACCTCACCTAGTCTGTTGCAGGGGGACAAACTCGGTCCTACCTCAACTTATTGTGCCACACTTTGTTCAAGCTCATGGGAGGCCTGCCCTTTCTGAATGGAGCCAGAGAAGGATGGGGAGGGGGTTAGATGGGAGTGGAGGGAGGATGGAGGAGAGGAGAGAGGGGAAACTAAGGTCAGTATGTAAAACAAATAAAAATGTTAATTAAATAAAGAATATAGTTGTTTGTATATTTGGAATTGCTTCTAAAAAATAAGTTGCTTTAATAAAGAACATTATTCTTAAAGCCCGGCGTGGTGGCACAAGACTTTAATCCCAGCACTCAGGAGTCAGAGGCAAGCAGGATCTCAGAGTCCGAGTCCAGCCTGGTCTGTAGGGCTAATTTCAGGACAGTCAGGGCTCTGCAGAGAACCCCTGTCATGAAAAGCAAAAACAAAAAAACAAAGAAACAAAGAATATCATTGATTTAGTTTTAATGTAGAATGTTAAAATGCTTCCTAAAGAGACCCTGCCAACTTTTATCTTACTTACAGCAATGCTTGTTTCTCCAACTTACACACACACACACACACACACACACACACACACACACACACACACACACACACCAAGTTTAGGCATTTTAGAATTTTTTGTATGTCCTAATTTAATGGGGGGGAGTTGTTGTTCTGTTTTAGTTACATTTTATTACTGGAGGTGGTACTTACTCTTTGCTGTTCTGTATCATTAAACACTCATATTGTTGAAGCTAGGAAAAAAAGAAGAATCTGAGGCAAAGATGACACTGAAGTTATGCACTGGTGTATTATTACTTACTATGGAGGTTTGAAAGAAAATGTCCCCCAAAGGGAGGTGGCCTTTGAGGCCTCATATATGCTCAAGATTCCACCCAGTGTCTCAGTTCACTTCCTGTTGCCTTTGGATAAGATGTGAGGACTCTCAACTCCAGCACTGTGCTACATGTAGCAACTCTGCCCACCTGTTGCCCTGTTTCCTGCCATGATGATAATGGACTGAAGCCACCCTGGTTAAATGTTTTCCTTCCAGGCAGGGATGGAAACTTGAGGGATCAGGTTGGGGGTGGATAGAGAGGGAGAGTACTGAAAGATGACTGGAAAGGGGTATGTTTTGGGGTCAGATAGAAACTGATGCAAGGGAAACTCCCACGAATCTACAAGGATGAGCCCAGCTAAGACTCCTAGTAATAGTGGATACACAGCCTGAATTAGCTATCCTTGTCATCATATTGGTGACTACCCCAATTGTCATCAGAAAGCCTTCATCCAATAACTGATGGAAACAAATACAGAAACCCACAGCCAAACACTAGGCTGATCTCAGGGAATCCTGCTGAAGAGAGGGAAGAAGGATTATAGGAGCCAGAGGGGTCAAGGACATCACAAGGAAACTCATAAAAATAACTAGCCTGGTTCATAGACACTCACAGAATCTGAACCAACAAGGAAGCTTTCGTGGGACTGATACCTAGGCTCTCTACATATATGTGACAGTTTTGTAACTTGGTCTTCTTGTGGGACTCTTAACAGTGAGAGCAGGGACTGTCCCTAACACTTTGGTTGCCTCTTGGAAACATATTCCTCATACTGGATTGCCTTGCCCAGTATGAGATACTTAGTCTTACTACAACTTGACAATGCCAAGCTTTGTTGATACCCATGGGAGGCCTACCCCTTTCTGAATAGAAACAGAGGAGGAGTGGATTGAGGCATGGGACAGAGGAAAGGGAGTGGGAGGGAAAACTTCAATCAGGATGAAAAATTAACTAACTTAATTAAACTTAAAAATTTTTTAAAGAGTTGCCATGATCATGGTGTCTTTGTAGCAATAAAAACCCTAACTAAGACACTTACCTTCACTGTTGTTATAACAAAACATCTGGACAAATGCAACTTGCAGGAGGAAGGGTTTCTTTTGACTGACAGTTCACAGGTGCCGTCCATCATGGTGGGAAAGCCCTGATGGCAGGAGCTTGAGGAACCTGGTCACACTGCATCTGCAGCCAGGAAGCAGAAAACAACGAATGCCAGTGCTCAGCTCACCTTTTTATTCAGTCTTGGTTCCCAGCCCAGGGGATGGTTAAAGTGAGTTTTCCCACATCAGT